GACAAAACAAGAACAACAAAAAACCAAAAATTTGTTTGGGAAACTTTGTGTCCTGATGTTTGTTTTGCAGTATCTTAGTGGAGTCTCTGTTCTAGTTGCTGAGATCTGCATCTGTCCTTGTAGCTGTATGCCAAGGTCACAGGACCCCCACCAAGAAGACCTCCGAGAGTCAGACTCTACAGCTGTTTTAAGGTTTTATTTAGATGGACTGCAGCTTGGGCCTTGTCCTACACTCCGACACAGCGGAGCCGAGGAGGAGAGCCCAAGCTAAGGATTTGCAGGTCTTATAAAGGCACACAACCAGGTGGTTTAGCACCACGTGTTGCTCTGCTCTGAACCAAGCAACAAATGGTCACTGCCTCAAGTACTTTAACCCTTCAGTAGCCAAGTCCACGGGGTGGACTTCCCTAGTTCATGGGTGGGAGGCATCTCTGAGGGTTGTAAGTTGGGATTTATACTGCTTAAGTGCAGGGAGCTGGGGGCATAATTGAATTCTGAAACCTTCCTGACGTAGAGGTGTGGCTGTTATCTACATTCTCATGGTTAGTACAATTGGGAAATAGCTAGGTTTTTAAAGCATGTCTGTAGCTTGTAAATCAAAGAGAAGAGATGAAATCTTCAATCAGTTTGAGTGGGCAGAGGAACCTTCTGCCTTACAAAATTGGGGTCTCTGCAGCTCTCCTCCCAGTCTCGATTAGGTGGCTCTGGGAATTGGGGCTCCTTAGGTCACAGAAAGGAGATGGTTCTTATCTGCAGCCATCCTGGGTGTGGGCAGGGCTGTGGCATATCTGGAATCTGTAGCGTTCTCGGATAAGGAGGGGGTAACTAGCACCTGGATTTCCACTCAGCACAGCTTGGAATCACACATGGTTTTTAAGACCCATCTGTTTTTTGTTGTTGTTGTTTTATTTTGTTTTTGTTTTTTTTTTCCCATTGAGATTTTGGAGACTCTCAGTTTTATGGTTCCAAGGTGCTTGGCTGGCTGAGGGCTGGGCTAGACTTTGGCTGGAATGCTGACCTTGTCCTTGCTCACTGCAAGCACTGCTCCACTGCAGTGCTACCTCACACTGGGCTGGTCTTTTGTTAGCTGCCAGAGAAGGGTGGTGTAAGGGGTATAAGATTCCTTTGCCCTTTTCAAAAATGGTGCTGCTTCTTTGTCTAGTGTTTTTGGCCAGGTGCTCTGGAGGCCTTTTTGCCACTTTCAAAAATGGCAGGTGGGTGCTGTTCTCTTTGGCAGGGTACTCATGGTTCCTGGTGTTGCTTCCGACCATCTGTAATGTGGTGAATTGTCTCTGTGCACGACTGGCCAGCTCTGCTGTGTGCTCCCATTCCTGCTTTTTCCCATGTGGGCTCTTTAAAGTCTGTACTCGGCTGCTGCCTCCACGTGACACCAACACACCAGGCATTTCTTCACTGGTTTCTGTTTTCTTTTGCAAGCAGTTTATAATCTTCCTTTTTTGGTGTATTATTATAGCTTACTTGGTATGACTCCCTAGATCTGGAGTGCATGGTGGGACCCTAAAACTCTGCTTGTTCTATGAGAGCTTAGTTTGTTCTCTGTTCCCTTTTTGCCCACTTCCTGGATCTCTGGAAAGCTTTAATCTTGAAGAGTTTAAAGACTTATTTTAATGCTTATGTGGTCTAAAAATGATGTATTTTGGTGGAACAGGTTTTCACTGACCTTGATACACACAGAAACTGCAACTGTGCTCTTAAGAAAGAAGAAAAGAACATTTAATAAGGTTTAAGATCCTTGACAAGCAGCCTCATGCATCTTTAGATATCATGTCTGTTTACACACTCTCTCTCTCTCTCCTTCTCTCTCTCTCATGGTGTCCTAGATGAAATGGGTCAGAGATGCATGGTACCAAGAGCAAGCTATTTTTGAATTTTGTGCTGTACTTGAAATGCCTTGAGAGGTGAATGGGCAGTTGGTGTTTTCCTCAGAGTTAGCTGGCCATGTACTTATTACCCATTTCAACTGGAACATCATATAAAATAGAAGTATATTTTTAAATATATGTATGTAACAGAATTCCATTTTCATTTCATACCAAAAACATACCTCCCATAGGAAAAGAGGCAAAACAGGCTAACTTAAGCTTACAAAAGCCTTCACAGATGCCACATAAAAGTTGGCTTCCAAGGTTTCAGGCTCTAGGAGATAAAATTCCAGGGCTACTTATTAATATCAAGAAAATTCTGTAGCTGTCTGGGATATGAGATTCAATGAGAAGTCTCTAAACTCCGTTGCACAATTGGATCCCAAGATTGGGTAAGATTCATATTTTATTCAAGGAAGCATATTATTATTTTTCCTTAAATGCAATGATGTATTTAAAAAAAGTCCTAGGATTACCATGACTATTGTGCTAAGAGCTAATCTTGGTGAAACATGATATTAATTAAACATTAAAAATAGTATCCAAGACCACTTTCCTGGTTGTTAATATTCTAGTCCTAATGCATGCACCAGCACAATCAAAACATCCATTTCCACCTGTTTTTTATTTGTTTGACTGAATTCAAAGCAGCACAGAGTTATCATGTCACAGAAGCAGTGTATTTGAGAAACATCATTTTCAACTCACTGCTTATTGAAAAAAGAAGTATCAGAGTCATTGAAAACACTGTTTATTCGAAAACTATGAGACACCAAATATGAAATATAGCTAACATTGACATCACTAGCACACACCCCTAAACCACCCACAAGTCTTGGACACGTGTGCATGCACACCCAAGAAAACTGATTGTTCAAGGACTCCTGATGCTTGGTGGACAGCCTGTTAAAAGAACTCGTCTCCCACAACAGTTCTGGAGTGAATCCAAGTCCCACTCCCTGTTAACGATCACAGACGGTCAGCCTGTCCACCTGAACGTCAGAGGCAACTATTGAATCCCCAGAATCCACATCCTGGTGGTGAATATTAGCTTTGAGACAGTTGCCCTGGTTAAACTGAAGCAAGCCAGCAACCTCATGCATATATTTGGTCCCATTTGATAGAAAGTCTAATTAAAAATTATAAATGTGCTCAACTATTTATATATGTATATATATATGTATATATATAATTTGACAGATAATCCCTAACATTTACTCATTTAGCCAGCTGAAAGGCAGCTGTGGTATAAACACATGGCTTGGGTTCAAGTTGCTGAGTCTGTGCCTCACGTGCCAAGCAGTAACTGGCAAGTCCTTCCTTCTATTCCAACTTTCATGTTTTGACCTGAGGGAGGGGTAAAATGATCCCATGATGATAAACATTATGTACTTCTGTATTCCTAGGCATGGCAATTACAGCCCAAGCAAAGTGTGTGGCTGCCAAATAGATCACCTCTTAAGCTGAATATTTAATAATTTGCTTGCCCTACTGTACCGCATTTTCTGGTTTCCTCCAGTTGTTTTAGAATTCCTAGACTTGAAAAGCTCACAGAGACCATCTAGGATAATGCTGTTCTGAAGAGAGAAGCTACATTCAAACAGCTGTACTTCTTGTACTTAAGAAGCTCCAAAGACAGGGGCCTCTCCTCTCCTTATTGATTGACATTTACATATACATCAGAATCTCTATTATGGTGATTGAACAAGTATTTATCCACCTCCTCCCCCCACCACACTTTTTAAAAAATGACTATGGAAATGTTGGCTGGTTACTCAAAGCCCAGAAAGCAATGTTCAATAAGAGCTCCATATTTTGAATGTTGTGGTTGGTGCCAAATCCTGAAGTACCTAGACATGAGCTCTGGTCTGGGATTATCACTCACAAGGAATGTCTTTCCTTCTCCACCAGTGATAGTAATAGCATAGGCCAGACTGAGGATTTCTTCATAAGGGTCCAGTTCCATTCCCATAGTATGTTCTTACAGGCTTAATGGTAGAAATGGAGAAATGTGGATTCAGGAGGAATTCCTCCTCAGATCCTAGATCATCCCACCTGACCACGTTTTCTGGGTCAGAATAGATTTGCAAGTCTCCTAAGTCAGCTCTGATCTGCAAATAAGAGTGATTAAAGGCCTTGTAAGAATGAAAAATCATCAAGGCAGGTGTGACAATGCTCATGTAAATCTGCTTAGGAAGGACGCATAAAGTAAAATAGAGTCAGCCTTAAAAAATGGCACTAGGCCTTACTGGGCTTTTGGATATTGCCTATCTTAATTGCCCATTTTGTGAATAAGCAAGCTGAGCTGCAGAGAGCTGAACCACTTTTCCAAGGTAATCTGACCACAGCTTTCTTGCTTCAATAAGTTGTCATAGGAAGGAGTCACTTTTAAAATACCAGATAACCAGAAAAATGATCATTCTCTCTCTTTAAATTCCCTTAGTGACAAATCAAATTCCCTTAGTGACAAATTCCCTTAGTGACAAACCTTTTCTGGTGACAAATCAGTGCCATACGTCTCTCCGTTCTTAAATCAACCATAAAGATAGAAAAACAAAAGTTCTGTATCTGAAGGAGCTCTGTGCCCAGTTACTCAAGAGATAATTGGGAGGTCAGTAAATATACCTACGATGTCAAGGTGAGAGTCAGGGAAATCCCTGTCCCTGTAGACAGTTGATGTATATAGAGACTGTCCTGGAAACATTTTTCTCAAATATACTCAAGACAATAACTCTTGCCAGTCTAGCTGTAAGACCCATCTATTTATCCCTGCTGCTCCTTCCTGATTACAATGCAGGCAATTTTCTTCTTACAAACTAAAAGGGAGCATTAGAGGGATACAAATCCAGACAGAAAGGGGAAAATGCTGATTTTTTAATAAAACACGTGCAAACAGAAAAACTGCACGTGGGTTTTGCAGGCTGAGGAAAAGGGAGGGGGGCGTGCTGAATTTATAACACTTGGGTTTGGTTCTCCACATGCATTTTTCTTTTCTTGGATTCCTCTCTTCCTCTGTGAGGATAACAGTTGTGTTTCTTGTATCTGAGCCTGTACAGGAAATCAAATACTTTTGTGTTTCGATAAACTATACACATCTAGAATTAAACTACTATGACAAACGATTATGAATTTCTGATTGTTACAGGTGTTGTTAAAGGAACTCCAGTAGCCAAGATCAAAGTCTCCAAATTTGGCCTTTGGAGAAAAGGGTTTGAGGGGGTGGGGGAAGGGGACTCATTTCAGACATCAAAGGTAAGACTCTCAAGTCAATTTATGCTCTGCTGGGTTGAGTCAGTGAGGATACAAATTAAGGTCCATATATTTCAGTGACAAGAAGGAAATGGTTATGTAAATACACAAGTATTAACATCAATCTGTATTAAATTATGTAAACATATACATCTTCTGAGGTCAGCACATAGATCCTCTTTTTGGAGCGGGGCTCTACTGAAGCATTGCTCGAATCTGTTTGGAAGTCGACTCATCGTTCAAGTGCTTTGTAGTGAACCTGATGGAAACAGAATGTCAGTGAGAAAATAGTCCTTGCAAAAGCATCCAGGAGTTACTCACCAGCCATCCTTACCTCTGGGGAAAAATTGGCATTTGTACATCAAACACATGGTCTTGCTTCTTTAGACAAAGAGCCACACTTCAGTGCTCTCTGTATTCTCAAGAGCTAATATTTCCTTCTTTTTTCTAAAGGCAGTTGGCATGATGAATCTTTTTTTTCTACCTAACCAAATAACTACATAGAGGAGATACCATAGGACTAATTTTTGAGGGAGATAGACTTTTAACTACTACTCTTGCTGAATCATAAATTCCAAAATGTGACCAACCAGTGGCTCACAACTGGAATCCCAGCAACTCAGAAGGCTGAGATCTGAACATCCTGGTGCAAAGCCAGCTTGAGCCAACAAATCTGAGAGATTTTTTATCTCCAATAAATCAGAAAAAGGAAGAACATACATGGCTAACATGGTAGAGACAGCAAGAAAGTTAAGCAAGAGCACAAGACCCTGAGTTCAAGCCCCCAAACCAGCGCGCGCGCGCGCGCACGCGCGCACGCACACACACACACACACACACACACACAATTTTAAAATATGGATATCTGACAAATAACTTTCTTGGTTTTCTACTTTTGTAGCGATGCTCATCCTCTTTTTTTTTTTTTTTTTTGCCCACCGTGGGGCCTGAACTCTGGGCCTGGGCTCTGTCCCTGAGCTATTTAGCTCAAGGCTAGTGCTCTACCATTTAAGCCACAGCTCCACTTCTGGCTTTTTTTTACTTATGCGGTGCCTCATGCATGCAAGGCAAGCGCTCTACCACTGAGCCACTTTCCCAGCCCCTGATCATCCTCTTCACCACCACAAATGGGCACAAATGCAGAGGGAAAAGCTAATTTCGGGGGCACTCTTCAATCTCCCATTAGCCTGATGCAGAATCATTTGTGCTAAGGCATGCAAACAATTACCATGTTACAAAATATCTTGACCATGTAATCAGTACTCCATGGGAGCTGCAATTTACGTACAATTACGTTTCAGGTGAATTTCAGGTTAATTTTACAGATGAGAAATCCAAGATTCAGAGAGACTAAAAGTCTCACTGTAGATCACAAAGTTGTTCCTTTCAATTTATGAGCAATTTGTGACATCAGTCTAGGTGTGTGTGATTCCTTCAAAAGCTTATGCATTTTAAAAAATCATGTGTCTGCAGGATACACAAATCCCAACACTCAAGGGGGCTTAAGGCCTAACAGAGTGCCCTGATCTTGAGGAAGTTTTGCCAGATTGAATGACACTTGGAATTTATGAAATTCCCAGTAAATCTTCTTACTTTGTATGGAAAGCTGGTCTGGTGCTAAATGGTCACCAATGGAAGTATTGTGGGTTACTTACAGAATTTGCAAGGTTCTTATGTTAATAGCACAAGTATTCTGAAGGCTGAAGACTTTGTCACCCAGAAGAACAGTGTCGGCCTCAGTTCCATACCACTTCATGTGCATCCAGGGTTCCCCATTTATCAAATGGGTATGATCTATCAGCTTTACATTCATAAATTGTAGGGATTAAATGAGACACTGCGTTTAGAGATGGAATGTAAAATCTGACTATATGTAGATGGAATAACATTGATCTGTTCACTTTGACTTGGTAAATGGACTGCATGTATATAACACTGAGTGAAACAGAGGGAAATTAAGCTAGGACTACAAGCCTTCTAGATTGCAATCTAGCACTGGGACAGTTTACAAATTAGTCAAAGTCAGTGAAATCTTCTACATGCATCACAGATAAAAAAAATTAAAGAGTCTCTCCTTAAAGTGGATTAAGAATTGCATCCTTTGGAAGAGTAGAGGTGTCTGGGCATTACTTGTTAGCAGTGAGGTGCTGGAGTGAGCCATAGTTGCAAAATACTTAGGTATCTAACCTAAATGTTGAAATATGGTATATGCATTTTCTGTATATATCATATTTATTTATATTTGAATGTAGTGTATGTCAGTACATTGCAAGGTTCTTGGATTCTGTGAATCATCTGGATGACTTTAGAGCAAACAAAAAACAACCAAATACAGAATGGGTGCCTGCACATCAACCCAGAGATTTGATTCATGTGGGCTAGGTCCAAGTCTGGGCATCAATGTCTCCAGAAACTATGCATATAATCTTCATGTATAGCCAGGTATGGGAACCACTGCTGAAGAGGGAAGTAAGACCCAGGAACCTCTTCTTCTGAGGAGCTTCCAGGATCCACAAAGCAAAGAGGCCAAGAACCAGGCTCATGGGCCTTGTGCCATCCTCAGACTCAGGTTCAGACCCTAGCATGGTCTTTCACTATAGGATGTCAGAAAAGTTATTTGACTTCTCTACATCTCTGTTTATCTCCTCTATAAAAGGGGAACGATGAAAATTCTGTTGACCAAAAGGGTGCTGGGAAGAGCAGACCTGTTAGAAGACACGGTTCTTGGTCTCCAACAGCAGATCTGCAGGACTGATTGCCTCGTGTCAGTCTATAACAGAGTCAACTCACCTGAGGGCATTCAGCAACCCTTCCACACTGTCCGGAGCCTGTTCCTTCAATACCTTTATGCAGCCTTTCATCTAGCAGGGAAAAGCACAACGCTTGGTTAATATCCTGGAAATCCAGTCTATCCTAGTGTCTACGTCTATCCATCATAACAACAACATATGGAACTCAGACACAGAAAGGCTTATGGAATGTGCTGGATGGGTGTAATCAGAGGTGTGGAGCAGTGGGTGTGGAGACCCTGAGGATGAAGACAGTACTCTCTGAAATCTGAGAGAGGAAATTTCTAGGTTTCTGGCTTCGCTACTGGGTAGGAGAATGGGGAAATACTTGAAAGTAGAGAATCAAGGAGGACAGATGTGTGTAGGGAAAGAGATTCATTGGTTTGGGGATGGCCATGTTTCAGGTGTCCACAGGAAGTGGGGTCTGGAATTATGGGTAAAGAGTAATTATAAAATGGGTACATAAAGAGTAATAAAATGTTTCATAAGAATCTAAAAAATGATTATTTGAAAACATCTTGTCACCCCTTCCTGGTCCACAAATTGTCTACTGTCTACATGACTCATACCCTGGAGTCTTGGTAATTTTGCTCTAATGATTCTGTCTACTCAGACTACTCTTCATTCCTTCTGTCTGTTTGGGAAAATTCTACACCTTCTTCAAGACTATTTCAAACATCACTTGATCTCTGCTCTTAAGCAGAATGGGTTTTTCCCTTACCTGGGTGTCTGGTTCTCTGCAAACCACAGCACTATCTTTGTGCAAACTTGCATAGGACAGCTCTAAGACCTCTTAAATCAACACTTGTCTTTTCCCTGTGGATGCTGATGCCCTAAGGACTTATAAATCCAGCAGACTAGTGTCTGTGAGAAGACCCTTCATATTATTACAGAAAAGGACCCATCTCAAATATGTGCTGTGCTTGGTAAACCTGATGCTTTCTTAGACACACAGGCAAAGTTCAGTAAAAGGGCCTCTCTTGACCTAAATAAACAGAACCGTCATCAACACTACAGCTGAAGATGAACATCACATAGCACCTCAACAGAAAGACTCAGCAACAGATATGTAGTCAAGCTTCTCAAAGGTTAGGGATAGAAGGCATAGGGACATCCAGCATATTTTAAACTCCTGGCTCTGTGTTAAGTTAAATAATGTGTTATGAATTCCAGGTAACAAACTCAGCTCATAGTTAAATGATACCTATAGAACTATTCATACTTACTTATAATCAATCTGATTGGTTATGAGTATGAAAACACCAGTCAATGTATTTGTTGGTATGAACATAAGCTTATAACATACTGTTTGCAAAATTTCAAAACCTGTTAAAATACTATGTATGTGGGGTCCTAATTTGCTAAGCAAACCCACATGTGAAAAGAGGATACATGATTGCTGAAATACTAATAGTGCTCAGGACTATGCTGAGATTATTACAGATTAATTTAACTTTGTATATATTGATTTCCCACATTTCAAAATGTTTTTATAATAAATATTTGTTTCCTTAGCAAACAGCTATAATTAGCATGGAAATCATAATTTAATGAAGAACTGTGCCTAGCTTTGCTAGTTAGGGTCCAGGACCTCAAAATAATAATTCAAGTTACATTTTTCACCTACAAATTGCCTCCATTCTTCAAGTTTATAGCCCTTCTAGGCATCTACACTTCATGTTGATAGTTCTGATGCATCCAAAACACTGTTTCGTGCAGACAAATGGACAGAGCGTGTCACCCTGTGTGCGCCATGCCACAGTAAGGACCCAAAGCTCCTAGTTTGCACTTAGAACGTTTTATATGGAACACACTGTTGGGTTGGTGGCACTATTTGGTAGGCAAATTCTGGAGCAGGATGGGGATGTGAATCCTGAAATCAACAGGAAAGCACCTGCATAACCAAGTCATTCATTCATCAATTTCATTCATTCAGGAAAGGCTCTACAGAGCATCGACTGAGCATCATTCATATTCACTCTGAGCCAGATACCATACTAGGCAGTGGAGCAGACCTTAGATATATTGATCATGATCCTTATCCTTGTCAAAATCTTAGAAACAATGGAAGGGTCAGCAATACAAACTGGTAAGTGCTCTGAGAACCAGAGAAGAAGGAAGGCATATCTACAGTGCAAAGGACATGTGTTCTTGCTTGAGGCAACTCTTGAGGAGTGTAGGGAAGAAATACACCACTGGAGAGGATGAAAAGGGCTGTCAGGGCAGGTTCATTCAAGCCCAGGCTCATATACACATGACAAGAAAAGCAGAAGACTAAGTGGGACAGCAGGTACATAGATACAGAAAAAAAAATCTGGAAGGTCATTGGCATTTGACCATGGTGCCTTGAAATCCATTACCTTCCAATTCTTCTCACATGAAGATACACAGAAGATAGAAAAGACACACTGGCAGGACACACAAGGTCACTGAAGAGCAGTGTGCAGCTAGGGGCTGATCCTCTATTAGCTCCACTGAGGTCAAGAATATTGGCATCCCAGTATTCTGACTATGTAGATGAGGCTGGAAATCTTATCATACACATGTGAGGAAGAGTGGGGTTCTTGCTGTAAGAACAGTGACTAGAAGAGGGCTCTCTCAGTGGGGACAGAGGTCAGTGAGAGAGAAGCAGAGTCTATCCAGGGGCATCCCCAAGCTCCTGTTTGGAAATGGCACTACATGGCGTTCTTACGTCAATCTTGGATGTCTTGCAGAATGCCCCCACGGGGTGCACATGGTCATAGAGAATGATGACCCCCACCATCACCCTCATGCAGAACATCAGAGTTTCTTCACTCGTGAACCTGCTTCTGTACTCCCTGAAAGAGAGAAACATGGGGTACAGGCATCACTTCCATGTTGGGACATAGGCTTTTTGGTTTCCACACTGGCTTCTCTTCTAATCCCCCCCTGGAGAACAATCTCAGGCCTGTAACAACCAGGTTAATACACTCTTGAAAAGAATAACGATGATAATTCTCCTTGAATCTATCCAACCGGCAATTCAGCGCAAAAATAAGGTAAATTAGAGGGCAGTAAATTCCCTTCCCTTCTGCCCTTCAGTGGCCAGCTCATCACGAACATCACTCCTCCACCCATCAATCCTGAATATTTTATAGCAGGTCCCTCTGGCTGTCCAAGATTATAGAGAATAATGGCTTCATTACAGAGAAAAAGAATCAGGCTCATTTCTACAGAATGGCTATCATGTCTCCATTCAGAGTAACTTCCTTTGTTAAGACACAAGCTGCAGATGAACTAGATTAACAAAGATGCCTCAAAGAAATTATGTAGTATTCACTGACCTGAGCGTATGTGTGGAGTTTGAATTTTGTTCACTTACCTTGATAGGGACCCTGATGACTCAGATAATTAAGGCCAATTGCAGAGGCTTTCTTAGCATCTATTTCATTAGGAAATGGCCCCACAATGAAGATGATTACTATTCTTGTCTTGGAATAAATCATCTTAACTTTGGCATAAGTGAAATATTTGAAATTAATGCCCTCTTACATTTGAGCAGAACCTGACATTTTCTAAAGCACTCTCGACATCTTTGCCCTTCCTGGCACCTCTGCAAAGTGGATGGCAGGCTGGGAACTTCAACGGAGGAAGAAAGCAAGGAAGCCTGGGGTGGTCAAATCACTCATTTGTAGGCACAGTAAGGGGACACACAAAACTAGACCCTAGACTTTGAGCGTGGATTTTCCCATAACCATACTGTGTCTTCTTCAACCACTTTTATTTTCTTTAAAATCTAGCCCCTAGTAACTACAAATTGTTTGGACACAGAGAAACTACAGAGAGAGAGGGAGGGAAAGAGAGAGAAAGAGAGATAGACAGACAGAGACAGAGAGACAGAGACAGACAGAGACAGAGACAGAGAGTCAGAGAGACAGAGTTAGAGACAGAGACAGACAGAGAGAGAGACAGAGAGAGACAGAGAGAGTCAGAGAGTCAGAGAGACAGAGACAGAGATAGAGACAGAGACTGAGTGGCAGAGATGGAGAGACAGAGAGAAGCAGAGAGGGAGATAGATTAAAGAGATGGAGACAGAGATGGAAATGATCACTTGTGTAATAACCTTACTATCTACTTGCCTGCAAGATGTTTATAATAAGATTCAGTCATCTAACTCGTCCTTCTATCTGCTCCATACATATCTTTTACAGCATCTTGGAGTGTCTGGTCCTACCATCAAGTAAGCTAAGAATCCTTTGTGAAATCTATCAACCAGTTGTTTCAGCTATAAAATGGACATAAGGACACGGGGTTCACATAGTGCTCTATGAAACTGAAGTGGATAACAGACACGTAACCTTTTATATGCTTATATATGTACAAATATATATGTACCAAGGGTACATGCTGTCATCATCATTATTATATCACCATCTTCTACCTTATCATCCTGCTCATCACCACATCAATAGCATTTCTGAGTGTGCTTCGAGAGCCACTTACGGAGTTTCCAGCATGACTTTGCAGACACTCGTCATTGTACTGAGGCAGTCTGTGGTATTCTCTATTGGCAGGGTTTTGTTCTAAATGGGAGACACAAATATGCGTTAGCCTTGATGGTGATTTTTATGCATAGTTAAGAAGAGCCCCCCCCCCCCGATTGCACAAATTCACTGACTTCAGAGACAAAGTGCATCGTGGCATTGCTAAGGGTTTTCAGCATTGGTGTGGCTTCGGCATAGAAAAGGGACATCCGGTTGGCCATCTCATTATTAACTTCATTCTCAATGTCTAGCTGATGACAAGAAGAGAAAACGAAATTATAAAGGAAAAGCAAAAAAAACCCCACCCCAAAACAGCCCCCAAATCAAATACCACCCTCTGGCTATTGAAGTATAAACAGATGTCTTCCTTATGAGCTCTGCTCAACAGAGTCATGGAGAAATGTGCTACGGAAGGGAGACATTGAGACTCACATGCATGTTATTGATGCGGTTGCGACTGATTGTTCTTCGGTAGTAGCTGAAGTCATTCTGAATAGCTGGGTTCCTCATCTGAAATTCATAAGAGAAGCCCATCTCTCAGCATCAGGTGGGATATAAACATGAGAAGCCCAGGCAGCAGATTTTATGATATGCTGAAACATCTCTTTGTCATGCCAGAGTCAGAGAAACTTTTGCTTAAAAATAAAGTTTCATAAGTTCATTATTCTAAAGTATGCCCCATTTTAATTATGGGCTAGATTTCAGGCAAAGTATATTTTTCCCAATAAGGAACAGACAGTTGAAAAGATTTGCTCTTATTTCATTTGGCAGATTTGAACATCCCTACATAAATCATCATCTTAAGTTACTCTAACCACACGGAATGCAAATACTCACTATATTAGATGTATTGCTGGGGAAGAGGTTACCATCGTACTCGATCCTCCCACCCACAGCTCAGGCAGGAGAGATTTAAGCAGTTATACATGACATAAGTATGTAACACATTCACAGTGCTTTTCTCCTGACCTTCAGCTCATCGAATCGAAGGGTAAAATGCAGAATCTCTGCAAACTCCTTTGCCAGGGCCTGCTCCCGTTCTAGGTGCTGGGTTGGTGTGTAGGGTGGACAGGTTAGAGATTCCAATAAACTCTGAAGAGCTTTCTCTGAAAATCAAAGGGATCCAGGCATTAATCTCATGCGATCCACAGAGATCCTTCAAAGGTCACGGTCTGTCCTATGGGACAATCTCAGGGGTTTTTCCTCCCCCTGTATTTCCATCCACAAAGCTATAGTGTCAATCCTAGATAGGGTGTGAAGACCAGGAGTATGTTTCTGTGTGATCCTGTGTACGATATGAGCACTACCCATAATACAAGGATAAGATGAAGCAGCAGCTTTGGACACCTGGGTCAGGTCACCTGCTCGACAGTTAAGAATTCTGATCTTGTTCCAGCTTTCCTCTGCATTCTACACTGAACCCAATTCTAGGAATTCTTTCTACAAAGCTATTAGCATATTTGCTTCCATCACTGTTCTTATGATGATTTTATTCTTCCCACTCAACCATTTCTAAATATTTCTCTACAGATTTTTGAAAACTTTCTATGTGTTTATTATGTTCATCTAAACTAGTCTTCTCTCACAGGGGCTGATAAACTATGATCGACTGAATCTGGTCCATTGTTGTTTTTGTAAACAAACTTTTATGGAAAGACAGAGCCATTCATTTCTTCGTGTCCTGAGTACAGCTGTAGTGGGAGAGACTGAGTAGCTGTGAAACACACAAGACGTGCTACAAGACTTGAAATTTACTATCTGGCACTTTACAGGGAAACTTGACAATGCTGTCTTTGCATATCCTTTATATCCTTATATACATTACGGGCACACACACGCTACATGTGCCTTTCATAGCATCTTTATAAGGTTTCCCTCTAGCCTTGGTTAAACATGTCTGCCTAGGGAGACACTGTCATTAGAGACAGCCAGTTTTGAGTGGTAAGGCTTTCTTCTGTAAAGCTGAACCTGGGCTTCTTGGAATCTCTGGTGAGTTCAGACACACACTTAGAGGAAACATGGGAGCATTTGGTTTCTCTTCTATTTGAAAAATCTAAGGAAGTCCTGTTTTTTTTTTTTTTAATGAAGCTGGCATTGAAGGTGCATTGAAGGACTCCTCTTGGTCTTAGCTTCTAGTCTTCCCAACATCATGGTCTTTTATTTGTCCAGAGTATTTCAGTGTTAGTTTTCCAGCTAAAATGTGACAATTGCTTCATGGAAAAAGTAGAGTAGAATATAACTACTGCCTTCGTTTCCTTTCCTGATGTGCTACACTAAGTAATGAACTCTTGCATGAATTTCTTGTTGATAACAGAGATTGCATCACTATTGTAAGGTACCTTGCTGCTATCTTAACCACACCTAGCTTAATTCTGGATTTTGTAGAGCCACTCCGTCCCTGTATAGCTCACTTTGTTTTTAAAGCTTTAGGGAAGAAAACCACACTTGTTTATTTTGTATTTTACTATATTGAATTTATTTCATGATGCTAGCCAACTAAGCTCCTTGTGGATCAGCAGGTAACCTTTAATTTCCAAATTTACTGATATTCATGGATGAGATCAACCTATAGTAACTATGAAGAGTGTGACAGCTGAGCATGAGATGAAGGGAAACCATCCAATAGGACACTCCCAATGTGCCAGCGATTGAAAGGGAAGCAAGATTATGGTGGATTAAAAGAAATGAGAGTAACAAGAGTTGTCCACACTGGCCTCTTAAGGCAGAGTGAATGGCAGTAGTACATTTTCCAGTACACAGTGTTGTTGCTGTTACATTCTCCAATTGCAAAACAGAATTTCACATGTGGGACGTGGAGACGATAAACATACTCACCTAGCCGTATGGAAAACTCGTAAAACCTCTTTAGCCTCACAACCAGAGGACATACTGCATTCCATGCTTTCTCTTGAAGCTGAATGTCGTTGGGATTTTGAATTGCCTACAAAGAACATGGCAGAATGGTCTGTTTTACGAGTAGTAATAAACATCTCATTGAAATGTCCTAAGATAGAGGAAGGATTTCAGTTAAAAAAATGCAATCCTTGTGCACTTTGTGAGTGGGTATTATTTTGCTTTACAAAGACTCACTGAACAGTCTCCTAATGGACTTATTTTGAAAGGGAATTTTAGTACTCGAACACAAAGCAAATGGTTTTACAGGTAGATCTGTGCGGTCTCAGTCTCTTCATCTTGAAACAGAACATGTGAGTTCTCCATTAGCATTGGCTTTTTCCGAAGTTGAGCCATGATTTGTTATAAAGGGTAGATTACATATTGTCCTTTCTCTAAATTATATACTATATTCTTGCCGGTCTTTATGTTACCTAAACGATGACCTCTGTACCAAGAAAACATGCTCATGCTGGCTACCAGGAGGTACAATTAGAAGGATTGAGGTCAAAGGTCAGCCTGGGCAAAACAAACAAACTATGACCTTGATACATCTCAACCAATTGCTGGACAATTCAGTGATATGTGTATGTCTTGAAAACTACCCATGAGGCTGAGCAAGGAGGATTGTGAAGGAATGGCTCAGATAGTAAAGCACCTGCATAACAAGTGTGAAATGCTGAGTTCAAATCCAGTACCACCATAAAACAAAAAAGAAAACCTTCTTAAGATACTAGTGCTTTCTGAGCAGTGTGGTCTTATCTGGGTCTTGGATTATGATGATGGTGGAATTCTTCTCAGTGGAATGGTGGCTGTGACAGTGGTGAGCAAGCATGTGTGTGCAAATGTGTGTGTGTGTGTGTGTGTGTGTGTGTGCATGTCTGTGCATTCATACAGACATGTGTCTGTGTCTTTTGACACGTACCCTAGGAGTACTATCCCCACATTAGACAGTAGTGTGTGCCTGTAGTTCTCAGTTACTTGAGAGCTGAGGTGGGAAGATCAGTTGAGCCAGGGGCTTCAAGACCCATCTGGACAACATAGCAAGAAGCCCCGTCTCAAACAAACACAAAGAAAACAAGCAAAGAAGAGAATCTTAATGTGTTTAAGTGTGATTTTTTTCTCTTTAAAGGAATTATGAATTTTCTTCCATGCTTTTTGTCTTTTTCTTTTTTCTGGAAAAGACTTGAATACAAAGTCTCACACTTGCTCTTGGTCAACCAGTGCTCTACCTTAGGCAGACCTCCAGTCTGGCTTCTTGTTGGTTATTTTGGAGATGGAGTCTCACACATTTTTCTGCCTAAGCTAGCTTTGAACAATGACCCTCAGAACCTCAGCTTTCTGAGTAGCTAGTAGGCCTGAGCAATTGACGCCTGGCTTTTCTTTTTTCTTTTTAACCTAAGACATTGAAGACAACAGGTACCTGTATTCTACTGAAAGCAAGATGGTTTACAGCTGTTGTTTTTGTGATGAAACCTAACCCAAACTGTCACAGGCTATGGGAAGTACATCACCCCAGAACTCTTGACTCTTAAGTCAACTCTTATTCACAGCTTTTACAGGTATATTTCTCTTAAAAGAAGTAATCTATTGACCTTATTGTCAGAATGTGAATCTTCATCAAATGAAGATCTGAGTTGAGAATAGCTAACACTTTACACTGTATCACTATGGGCTCAAGTTAATGGACCAGAACTAAAAGGAGCCACTCATACATCTTCTTAAAGGACACATTATATATGCATCTTGACTTTCCTAATAATCTAGGAAATACCAGGACTATTAGTTAATCCTTGTACATATGTGAGTGTGCGTGTATGTGTGTGTGTGTGTGTGTGTGTGTGTGTGTAGTTTCTCCTTTTCCTCCCAGGGTGCTGTCAGATCACAAGAGGGTTGGCATACGTCTCTGATCTCGGGCCCGGCGCCTTTGTAAGCCTGCAGGTCTGTAAGGATGCTCTCAGAATCCTGGAGGACAGCACTGATCTGGTTCCATATCTCTCTCTCTCCTTCTGTGGGCTGGGCATCTAGGAGGCAGAGAAATAAAAGACACAGAGGGCTGGTGTTTATAAACTGCTCTGAAAGGATCAGTGATCAGGTCTTCCTGCTACATAATCCTATCTCCTCCCTGCAGGTTTGGTTGCTACTCTTTAACATAACAAGCAGCTAAGAAGAGATAACCAACACAGTGTCTGCCTGTGACTCAGATCAGAATATCCAATGATCTTTGCACATAACTTAAATAGCAAATTAGAATCATTCTGGTGACTCATTTGTTAATTTATTTATATAAAAAAGCTTTCTTTTATATAGCTGCTGTATGCACAGGATGGGAAAAAGTATAAATATTACCTTTGGAATCAACTTTCCTTAAATTTTAAAAATTGCTCTTTATAATAAAATCACGTAATTTTGATTGTGGTAAAACAAACCTTACATAAAATTTACTTAACCATTTTTTTGTGTCAGTATTGGTGCTTTAATGCTCACACTTGGCTTTTCTGCTCAATATTGGCACCTTTCCTCTTGAACCACACCTCCTTTTTTACCTTTTTGCAGTTTGATTGGAGATAAAGAGTCTCATGGACTTTGCTGCCTGAGATGGCTTTCAACTGTGATTCTCAGATCTCAGCTTCCTGAGTATCTAGGATTACAGGCATAAGCCAGTGGCACAGAGTTCCTTAACTATTTTTAAGCAATGGTAATCCCCTCCTTCACTGTACTCTCAGATCTGAGAAAACTGAAATGTTATAGTCAGTTGACTTTTAGTGGACATTGCTGAATATTTCGGTGAAGACTGAAAATCTGTAGACCTGAGTAGAGATGGAAAAACATTCTCTTTCTTATTTCCACATAAAAAAATAAGCTTTAGAAACTGGATAATTACTCCTTCAGCATCACAATAGTGACACATCATTCTGGAACACACTGACATGCAGAAAGCACTGAGACTTCAATAAGCGTGAATGTGTACTCAAGAGTTCTGGCAAAGACATGCAGTAAACCCATTTTTTTGGAAAAACACCTGTTCTATTAATCTTTGGTCTCAGCCATGACCATTGTCCACAAAAAGAAAAGACAAGTTCAAGCTCACAGAAATGAAAGGCAGTATTTTGAGTACGCAGTGGCCTCTGCCAGCTCTTCGGTGAATTCACTGGTTGTACCCGAGAGTACATTTAGGTTCTTGTCCCCAGGGGCATTTTGTGGAGGCTGATAGGTGGAGGTTGTGAGCTGGGAAATGTTCACTCTATTTTCTCCCACAATTGCATAAAATAGGTTAGGTGTTCAGACTGCTGGAGAAGTACATGCTTCATGTAAAACAAAGGTGCTGCTCAGATAACATCTCATACATCTCCATTTTAAAGAGTTCAGATCCTGAGACACCGGGAAGCTTCCAACAGACCTGACTAAACAGAAAGATTAAGGCCGAGCTGCACCTGGTCTAACGCTTCTTGGTCCTAATCAATTTGAATCCCTGTTTCCATCAGTCTTGTGGGAGAATAAAGGGCTGGTCTTGCAAAGGGGTATGCACTAGTGTTATGGTCACTCGTATTATCTTAGAACATAAAAGACAGAATCTGCAGACAGGTAACGAAGTGGGCAGTGGCCTTAATGACAAAGGGTCCAGCGAGGCCAAGCACTGTAAGAAGGCAGATGGCCAAGATGATGACTCTTCCTCACTGCCTAAACCAGAGGCTTCAAGCCAGACTCTTGAGGGATGATGCTCGCTGGTTCTTAGATTACTTTATTTACCTGGTCTTGCCTAAGAAATTCATACACTTTCCTGGGAGAAGGAAGAGTGACATGAATCACTGCATGGCAATTCTCAAAAGAGAGGGAGGGTGTGTGTGTAGAAGACTTATTAGACCTATTGGCTATCCAGACACTTTGCAAACTCTATTTTCTAGAGATGGAAGGATTTCAACTAGGAAATGGGGTCATAATGAAGCTCATGCACACCAGGGCTCAGGAAATGAAGAAGGTAGTTGGGGAAGAGTAGAGAAGTTAAATGCAGTCTGGATGGGACTGGACCAGAGGTAATGAAAGGAAGTACATCCACCAAGATAGTACTGTGCAGACAAAGGCTGGAGACTGAGTTAAGCAGAACTGGACTAGGAAGAGGGAAAAGATCGGTCAAGGACAGAAAACACAGGCTAGCGCAGGAAACTAAAGGAGGGAAAGAACTGTTTGGCCCCATTAGCTCTGTACCCCTTGATTCATTTTCCAAACACACTGGATATGTTTTCTCAGGTATGATCTTACTCATAAGATGACTCACATCTTATTTTTATCCGTCCGTGCTTTCCCAAACCTTTCTCAATATACCATATGTGTCTTAAATGTAGAAAGCCACAGTCCAGGAAGCTTCTAAGTTCAGCAAGCATTTCAATGGTACTGCCAGAATTTCAGGGAAATGTTGGCAGTTTCTAAGTGGGAATGATATCAGAGAAGAAAAAAGAAGCAGGAAAAAAGAGTACAAATCAAAGAGGTTAGCAAACAAATAAAAATCAACCCCTCATTAATTCAAATCCTTTCACCCTTTGATGAATGTATCAAAAAATCACAAGCTAAACAAAGATAATTTCCTCAAGAGATATTTATTTGGAGAAGAAGAAAAGCAAGAGTTCAGACTATTGAATGTAATTACCCGATAGCCTGTGAAAGGAAGAAATACGGGATGCCAGGATAGAAGCCTTCTGATCTCAGCTGTCACATGGCCTCATCTTTGCAAATTACCACTTGAAAAGTTTCAGATGGAACAGAATTAAAACTAAGTGGGCTGGGAGAGGAGAGATGGCAAAACCAAAATAAAACATCCTGTTGATGGTCACTTAAACACAAAAGGGGAAAGATTTCACAGCAGATTTTGCTTTTTTTTCATGGAAGACTTTCTTAAGTGCTTTAAAAATAAGTTCTTCAACAGGATGTCCATGCAGTGGTTCTGAGGATGGGCGCAGGTAGCTCCTTTCTCTATCTGAGGTGGGGGGGTGGTGACACTTTTGGAAACAAATCAACACGGTCATTTATGTGACCACAAGGAGTTAGGCATATGGTGTCACTTCTATCCCAGAGGAGGTGGACTTGGGGCGGGGGTTGTGGTGAACATCTTACATCACACACCCAGGGTCACATCCTGCCCTCCTGGAAGCCAAGGATCTGTGAAACAGGACCCTCAGTCCCCAGCCTCCTTCTCTGGGAAATTGTTTCTTTTGGCAGATTTCCTGGTATCCCATTAAAAATTTTCTCGTGTGGTCCTGTTTAGCAGCGGTAGGAGATGGTGGGAGAAACCCAATCCATCGTTCTCTCTTTCATCTGGGCTTAGAAATGTGTTGGCTCATTTTCTTCCACCATTTGTTAGTCTTATGGGATACCTGATTTCTTCCGCCTTCCCTGTCACAGAACTACAGTCACATCCTCTCCCAGTAGATAATTAGGTCCTTTGTGCCAACAGCACAGCCAAGCCCTGCCTTCTGAGCCAGAATGCAGAAGATTCTCAGGGGATTTAAGTCACAAGTGGCGCCAATGTCCCAAGTGGAGAGTGACAGCTGGGAGAAGCTCTAGTGTCTGTCTCTCTGTTTCACTTTTCAAATGAAAAAGGAGTGTGTAATCCAAGGTGTCATTCAACAATGGTCCAAATGTTTATGGAGGTCCACGATTTATCTCATTTCCCAACGAAACAATCAAAACTAACAAGTGAGGATTTGATCCCCTAAGATGTAAGACTCTGGCCATATTCGTTTCAGGAGACGTTGCATTTTTAGTGCCAGGTACATAGTACATGCTCAAGAAAGTGTTGCCGAGTAAGCAGCTGGGGAAATGGCTGAAAGATACTTTCCACATTGTGCTTTGTGATGGTTTCCCTTTGCTTCTTTTGAATTCCTAGATCTTTGGAGGCAGTGTCTGTATTCTTGTCCTCCATGCCCCTGTGATGTCCTACCCATGGGAGACACTCAACAAACATGCGCTCAATCAATGCCTCATTGAGGAAATTGACTAAGCGACAGAGAACAATGGGTGCAAAGAAGCAGTCACTCCGCTCTTCCGTCCTCTCCCATCTCCCCAGATGGCTTTCTATACCGTTAACAACCCTTACCACTGCCATTAAGAGATCTGTATTTGTCTGCAATCACCTGGGTTATTGACATTTCATCAACATCAACATCGTTCGTCTCTGGCTTCCCTATCTCCTCAGCAGGGATGACACACTGTGGAGCACTGTTCTGTCTGGCAGGTGAAAAGCAGCACTAGGTTTCCTCTTGTAATCCTAAAACTATGACCATTTTTGTTCTCCAGAACAACCCCTGAGAAGCTTTGGGGGGTCTATACTTTTGGCATTTTCTACATTCAGATTCAGTTGTTGGCCACATTTAAAACAAAAATGTACTGTGTTTTCAAGATGTCAAAAAATGACATCTTGAAAGGGACCCTGAAAAATTAGTGGTTAAAGTGATTTTACTATATTTAACCAACAACCTCTGAAAGCATTTGTTAAGTGAATGGGAGCTCTGAACTCTAGGCTTTGCTGTTCTATATTTACCATAAGATCAACCTTTCACCAAAGGTGACACAGCATGTACATAATGCAGGCACATGCACACACACACACACACACACACACACACACACACACAGACACACACACGCACAGATACAGACACACACACACACAAACACACACACACACAGCAATGTTCAAATGATGACAGTGGGCCTGTATTTCCAGTTGTAACCAGTGAATATGAATTCTTCTGTAATGTTTCCTCTGAGAACTGAACTCTAAACTTGTGACACAGCATGTGCATAATGCAGGCACATGCACAGACACACACACACACACACACACAGACACACACACACACACGCACAGACACACACACAGCAATGCTCAAATGATGACGGGGCCTGTATTTCCAGTTGTAACCAGTGAATATGAATTCTTCTGTAACGTTTCCTCTGAGAACTGCACTCTAAACTTCTAATCATTGCCAATTATTTCACTGAAATGGAACAGAATGGTTACACAAAG